CGTTGACCTTTTCCTTTGATGTTGATGTTTCAAAGAGCTCGATGGCGATTAAATGGTGCCATTACGGCCAGCAAAAATTGCGTTAGATGATTGAATTTCTTCTATATGCTGTTTCCGTTTCCATTTTCCTTGATGCGTTTGCATTATTTCCTTGATGGTTCTATTGCGCCGAGGCGGTGTAGCGGCAAGTGGCGCCCTTCACTATGCGCACGGTCCTGGGTCGAATCCCTGATCGAATATTCCCTAAGCCAATCGGACCTTCGATCTCTCCTTGTTTGGTAAAAGGCTCGTATAGGGAATAAAAAACAGCTATTTCCGCTTTGGCTGACCCTCCCGGTTTTTTCGTATAGGCTTAAATCGCATTCATACACCCCTTCGGTTCCATGTAGAAGATGAATGCAAGGCGCATGTCAGGAGAGATTCTTTATTCCCTGAAATTCTGGTGACAGGTCGAATATTTTTGCCGAGTTTTTCTCATGGTTTTATTAGCAATTTGAAATAATGCCGGAGTTTTTTTATTTCTTGGAATTGTCCTGAAATAGAAATTGTTTGACCAAAATTTACAGGTGCTAACTTAGTTGGGGGGGGGGGGGGGCCACGCGGCGGCGCGGCAGTCTGCTCACCTGGGCTCTCTCGAGCGAGACAGTGTAAACTCGAACATTCCAGCTTTTCACGCATGTCAAGTGACTGCCCCCCCCCCCCTAGACTGCCTACACTCCCCCTGGCCCACGGATTTCCGAACATGCCAGGCGAGCAGACTGCCGCGCCGCCGCGTGCCCCCCCCCCAACTAAGTTAGCACCATTTACATTTATAATTCATTTGGGTGGATATGGCACAGTGGCAAACGCTGCGTTAAATGGTCTCGATGCCAATGTACCCATTGCTCAAAGAAGAGCATCAGACGGCGAAAAGGCAAGAGAACGATGGTGCTAGTGAGACGCAGACACCTCCCAGACATCACGGACATCATTAAGGGCAAGGCGTGGAGACAAGGACCACCACACCTTACCTTACCTTCTCACCTAACTGTACGTGCCTTAAATTTCATTACGACCTGTGCACGTCTATGGCCGTTACGTTCTTGAGTGCAGGGATTTATTTCTTTCAGCTTTTTAGGGAAATGTGTCTCTGTATAGGTTCTTCCTGGAATTAGCGGCATCCTTTCAGATATACCTTCCAAAAGCTTCTGCGATTGCGTGGCGTAGTTTCCTAAAGGTTGACTGGCGCTCATGTCGTTGGAGGGGATAACAAAAAAATTAGTGAACCACTTACATGTAATTGTCCCTGAGCCTTAAGGAAAGGAGAGGAATTCTGGGAGGCATGTGAAAAAAATCTTATTCTCCTTCGCGCTTCTCGCCTCTCTTTGGCATAGTCCTAGTGTCATCTACTAGCGTTTTTAAATACGCTGCTTCAGCGTTTCACATTAAGGGCAAAGTTCGGGCTCAGACCCACCTAAGAGAACCCTTAACCATGGCTAGAAGTGCTGGGTACGCAAGTGCAAAGGTAGCGCCACCTTTCTACATCGAAACGCGTCACTAGGACCCTAGGCGCCATGGACTTCTAACAGACTCCACCAAACTTAACATGGTCCGCCCACCGTTCGATATCTTGTCTGCGTCGCCACGTTGATCTGCTATATCTCTCTTCTCGGACTTCTCTACCGCTCTCCGCGCTCACATTATCTCTCATCTCCCTGCCTGTCTATGAACTTCCTCCACAGCATACAGCAAAATGCCCGCATTTTGTGCGTATTTCAGGATTTTTTTCTCCACTGCCGGTCCACCTCCCATTCCTACTTTCACATTTGAGTGGAATCACCTCATTCAATCTAATCCCGATTTTTGCCTTTAAGTCCATGAACACCGGTTGACTAAGCTCAATTACCTTATCCTTTTTTCGTTACGCCCTCACATCCTATCACTGCTTATTAGTTGGAGTGTGTAGATAGAGCAGTATTCCTTTGTGATATGCAAATCCTGCATTTTTGTTTGATAAGGAACTTTTTTGGGTCTCCTGATGCGAGATGTCGAAACGCCACAGGGTTTTATAGTTGCTCAGTAGAAATGCCTTTCAAAAGACGTAACGCATGACAGCAAAAAATCATCGGCCTCGTTCAAACTATTGGTGGTTACGCCACGGATTCTACTTCCATTCATGACTGTAGTGTCACTTCGAATGCGTTTGGCCCATACAATGACTTGCGGGGCCAGCCGATGTACAAGTCAGTGTTTTTATCCTCCCAGACAAGTCTGGTACCAATTAACCGACCCCGGAGGGATGGAAGGCTTGGTTGGCCCGGGCGACTCACGACCCAGGATTTGATCCCCGGACCGCTCGCGTGGTAGAGCGCGCCACTTGCCACTGAGCCTTCTTTTTAGCACCTCACCCGCTGAAAATCACATTTGGCTTTAGTTTTGCTTCAAATTCAATCAGCACTGCCAAAAACCTCAAAAAGCCTTCTTAGTTCGACCCATTGATATATCTTATGGTTATTCTGGAAAATCTATATATGGAAATTTATACTTTATTTCTGCTTGGCTTTCAATTATGCTTCACTTTCTAGGATCTCCCTCAGTTCTGCTGCATTTGCTATTTGAACTTTACTGAACTGAAGTGATTTGAACTTTGTACTTTTGAAATATTTCATCGCATATTCAAGCGAATTTATGCGATCAAAGAGTCTACCATAGTGTCTTTTGCTGATTATTCCGATCGATCAATCGAGTTGATTGTCACGTTTGTCATAGTGAAAAAACATGCTCCGCTGAAGATTCCTGTACAGTCCCATCTCGTTTTATATTTATCTAGCTGTGTAATTATTGAAATCCGGTCAACTTATGATTATTTTTCTCGTTCATCTGCTTTGTTCGCCTCTACTGCTGCCGTGTCATGAAGTGCGACAAATCAGCTGTAGAGCTGCCTTTGTTGGTTTAGAACTCTTTCTCTGAAGGACGTCCTTCACTAATAAGTACTCAATAGTGCTACGATAGATATCTTCTAGTACAAATATTGTTTTTGCACAAAGTTCCGGTCGTTGTGGTCAAAAATGAATGCGCAAGGAACGTTGGAATTTAAGCTCCGCCCACTTAGTTAGGCGGAATGCAACCGTATTTTAAACATTTCTTTTCGCTGTGAGTGTCAGAATACTGATGAGGTTTTTGGATTCAACACCATGACATCACTCTGATGATAATTCCAAAGAAGGAAGTATAGAATTTATTTTGGCAAAGTGTAGTGTAGTACTGTCACGAGTACTGTACGACGCCTAATGTAGGACTTCCACATCGCTTTCAGTCTATTCTTTGATCATTTCTCATCATGCTTGATGTAGTCAGTTTGGGTGTGATGGTGGATGTGCTGTAGCCCCGAAAATTCTATGGATACCATGTTTGAACCGTTTTTGCACACGCTTCGCGACCGCGACGCAGCTGCGCGCGGCGATCAGCGCATTAGTGCAACATGGAAAGTGAAATGAAATACAGTGATGCCCTATTTCAATATAGTCGACCATTTTTTGTTGATGCCGTTACCCCATTTTTAGTCAACAATTACTAGTTTTCAATTTCTATCTGATACTGATTCATATAGCAAAGCTTCATCGCAACTAGGAGTTCTATGTCAACACTGTTCTACAACAGATTTACCGTGTCCAAAAGCACATCAGGTTCTATTTTATGTTATTTTAACTGAATTATTTTTTATTAAATATTTTAAAATTTGTGATTGTTATTTTTTTCGACGCTCTTGCTCTCTGAAAACAATTCACTTCAAAGAATGCTTTATTTTCTTACCCTACCTCTAACACTTACTGGTAAACAGTTTTTGTATCGAATGACTCATCATACCTCACTCAAATCCGACTAATTACCCGTCGTATCCTGAAGGACGTCGCCACGAATGCCCAGGTGGTGCGCAGTAGCCGCGAATTACACCTGGAACCGCGCCATCTTTTCATTTGCGGCCGCATGGACTATCAAAGTGAATTCATGAATCGTTGTCAAACAATTGGGAAGAAGAACCTACTGTATAATACGGAGGAAACCTTATCGTATGAAATGAAAAAACGAAAGTAACCCTAACATTTGCCTCCAAAACGTGGGCTATAAAGGCTCTACGCGGTCGACAGACTGCGCTGCATGGGCTTCAAGGTGTTAATCCTTGAATGAAACCAACCCCAGGACAAACCCTGGAGCTTTTTGCCAGAAGGACCTTTCGGTAAACCATTGCAGCAATAATTCTACGACGAGCTGATTATGTACGGTGAAGGCGCAACTCATCGTAAAATTTCGCAATTTCCTGGAAGGAGAATCGCATTGGCATCTAAGTCGGCGTTTCATGCATACTAGACCAACTCTCTCTCGAGTCCTTTCCTCTCAAAACTATATTAGGAATGAATCTGAAAGTGTAGTACATAGCTGATCGAGATAAAGTACCTTCTTGTGGAGATGCGCCACACATCTCTCATTTGAGTTTGTGCAGCGCTGTTTCTTGAAGTTCTGAGCAATATGCGATCAAAGAACTCGGCTATTTTGAGCTGCCTAGGGTAGAGGAACTCGAATCTATTTTTACATACGATGTGTGGTTTTGGGAAATTGCCTCACTCTCGCCGAAGACCAATTTGGAGACGTCAACAATCGAATTTAGCCAGAATTTTTGAAACGACACCTAATTTGAGGCATGTGGGAGGGAATTATTATGCTCACCGTGTCACATTCTCCCTCATCTCCCTCATCTCCCCCATTCTCCTGTCGTCATCCATGTGCCTTGCAGACGGTTTTCCTGGTGGATAATCACTTTCCCAGTGAATCATTGAAATCGCCATTTGAAATCAGCCGTCGACGACGTCGCCGGTGTCGTCCTTGAGGCGTTTCGCGCGCGGACAAACACCTAGTACAATGCCGGCCAGGTGTCGGCCGGCTAGGTCGTCGCCGTCGTCGGCCCACTGTGCTCAGCTCATCTCACCGTTCCTGTCACTTGGACTTCAGCCATCTGGCCAGAAATGGTTCGTGACTGCTTCTTTGCCAATCGATAAATTTTTATTGCCAAGAATAAGCTGGCGCTTGTTATTCGTTCCTACCCCACATCGGCTTTCTGAATTCGGGGCTGTCTTCCTCCACTAGGGTTGAGGCTAGGGCTATTCGGGAGCCATGCCATCAATACTACGAAGCCGGAGGAACGTCAGATCCTGGCCCAATTTGGTGGGTGGTTGTGTTTATTCCTGTACTGTTCAAAATGCTTTTCCCGCTGCTAATTACCGCGATTACGGTAGTAAGGTGATGACTATATCGCTAAAAATATAAAGCTGGCCACAA